GAAATCAGAAGAGAGGTTAGGTACTTTTTCGGTGCGATTCTGTGGCCTGTTCGTCCTTCCGTGCCTTGCTGTTTTGGTGCCGGGAGGTGCTCTTGCTACTCTTCTGTTAGTAGCAGCAGCAGCAGCAGGTGAGCTGATGGGAGATTGAAAAAGCGGAAATTGAAAAAGCCATCCTTCGCTGCCATGGTGTTTTCCCATCCGGGAGCTGCCATTTGAACAGAAGGAGCAGCAGGAGCAGGAGCAGCAGCAGGAGGAAAAGGCAGCTAAAATATCCTTTTCTATGGGTTTCAGAAGTTACATTAGGCACTTTTTGGGCGCAATTTTGCTGCCTTTCCGTCCTTCACTGCCATGGTGTTTTCCCATCCGGGAGCTGCCGTTTCAACAGAAGGAGCAGCAGGTTTTCCCATCCGCGAGCTAGCATTTGAACAGAGGGAGCAGCAGGAGCAGGAGCAGCAGCAGCAGCAGGAGAAGGGAAAAAGTAGTGAAAATCATCCTTTTCTATGGGTTCCAGAAGTTACATTAGGCACTTTTTGGGCGCAATTTTGCTGCCTTTCCGTCCTTCACTGCCATGGTGTTTTCCCATCCGGGGGCTGCCGTTTGAACAGAGGGAGCAGCAGGAGCAGGAGCAGCAGCAGCAGGAGGAGGGAAAACGTAGCTAAAGGCATCCTTTTCTATGGGTTTCAGAAGTTACATTAGGCACTTTTTTGGGCGCAAATTTGCTGCCTTTCCGTCCTTCACTGCCATGGTGTTTTCCCATCCGGAGCTGCCATTTGAACAGAAGGAGCAGCAGGGGCAGAAGCAGCAGCAGCAGGAGGAAACAGTTGCTAAAATCATCCTTTTCTATGGGTTTCAGAAGTTACATTAGACACTTTTTTGGGCGCAATTCTGATGCCTTTCCGTCCTTCACTGCCATGGTGTTTTCCCATCCGGGAGCTGCCGTTTGAACAGAAGGAGCAGCAGGAGCAGAAGCAGCAGCAGCAGGAGGAAAAAGTGGCTAAAATCATCCTTTTCTATGGGGAGCTGCCATTTGAACAGAAGGAGCAGCAGGAGCAGAAGCAGCAGCAGCAGGAGGCGGAAAAAATTGCTAAAATCATTCTTTTCGATTGGTTTCAGAAGTTACATTAAGCACTTTTTGGGCGAAGTTTTGCTGCCTTTCCGTCCTTCCCTGCCATGGTGTTTTCCCATCCGGGAGCTGCCGTTTGAACAGAAGGAGCAGCAGGAGCAGAAGCAGCAGCAGGAGGAGGAAAAAGTGGCTAAAATTATCCTTTTCTATTATGGGTTTCAGAAGTTACATTAGGCACTTTTTGGGCTCAATTTTGCTGCCTTTCCGTCCTTCACTGCCATGGTGTTTTCCCATCCGGGAGCTGCCATTTGAACAGAAGGAGCAGCAAGTTTTCCCATCCGGGAGCTGCCATTTGAACAGAGGGAGCAGCAGGAGCAGGAGCAGCAGCAGCAGCAGGAGGAGGGAAAAGGTAGCTAAAATCATCCTTTTCTATGGGTTTCAGAAATTACATTAGGCACTTTTTTGGGCGCAATTCTGATGCCTTTCCGTCCTTCACTGCCATGGTGTTTTCCCATGCGGGAGCTGCCATTTGAACAAAAAGAAACAAGAGCAAAACAGCAGCAGCAGCAGGAAGAGAAAAAAAATGCTAAAATCATTCTTTTCGATTGGTTTCAGAAGTTACATTAAGCACTTTTTGGGCGCAATTTTGCTGCCTTTCCGTCCTTCACTGCCATGGTGTTTTCCCATCCGGGAGCTGCCATTTGAACAGAAGGAGCAGCAGGTTTTCCCATCCGGGAGCTAGCATTTGAACAGAGGGAGCAGTAGGAGCAGGAGCAGCAGCAGCGGAGGAGGGAAAAGGTAGCTAAAATCATCCTTTTCTATGGGTTTCAGAAGTTACATTAGGCACTTTTTTGGGCGCAATTCTGATGCCTTTCCGTCCTTCACTGCCATGGTGTTTTCCCATCCGGAGCTGCCATTTGAACAGAAGGAGCAGCAGGGGCAGAAGCAGCAGCAGCAGGAGGAAACAGTTGCTAAAATCATCCTTTTCTATGGGTTTCAGAAGTTACATTAGACACTTTTTTTGGCGCAATTCTGATGCCTTTCCGTCCTTCACTGCCATGGTGTTTTCCCATCCGGGAGCTGCCATTTGAACAGAAGGAGCAGCAGGAGCAGGAGCAGCAGCAGCAGCAGGAGGAAAAAGTGGCTAAAATCATCCTTTTCCATGGGTTTCAGAAGTTACATTAGGCACTTTTTGGGCGCAATTTTGCTGCCTTTCCGTCCTTCACTGCCATGGTGTTTTCCCATCCGGGAGCTGCCGTTTGAACAGAAGGAGCAGCAGGAGCAGGAGCAGCAGCAGGAGGAAAAGGTAGCTAAAATCATCCTTTTCTTCGGGTTTCAGAAGTTACATTAGGCACTTTTTGGGCGCAATTTTGATGCCTTTCCATCCTTCACTGCCATGATGCTTTCCCATCCGGGAGCTGCCGTTTGAACAGAAGGAGCAGCAGGAGCAGAAGCAGCAGCAGCAGGTGGAAAAAGTTGCTAAAATCATTCTTTTCGATGGGTTTCAGAAGTTACATTAGGCACTTTTTTCGCGCAATTTTGATGTGGTAGCTTTGCCACACCGGGAGGTGCTTTTGGTACTCTTCTTTCAGCAATAGCAGCAGCAGCAGCAGCACCACCACCAACACCAGCGCCAGCAGCAGCAGGAGGAAGGAAAAGGTAGCTAAAATCATCCTTTTCTATGGGTTCCAGAAGTTACATTAGGCACTTTTTGGGCGCAATTTTGATGCCTTTCCGTCCTTCACTGCCATGGTGTTTTCCCATCCGGGAGCTGCCATTTGAACAGAGGGAGCAGCAGGAGCAGAAGCAGCAGCAGCAGGAGGAGGAAAAAATTGCTAAAATCATTCTTTTCGATTGGTTTCAGAAGTTACATTACGCACTTTTTGGGCGCAATTTTGCTGCCTTTCCGGTCCTTCACTGCCATGGTGTTTTCCCATCCGGGAGCTGCCGTTTGAACAGAAGGAGCAGCAGGAGCAGGAGCAGCAGCAGGAGGAAAAGGTAGCTAAAATCATCCTTTTCTATGGGTTTCAGAAGTTACATTAGGCACTGTTTGGGCGCAATTTTGCTGCCTTTCCGTCCTTCACTGCCCATGGTGTTTTCCCATCCGGGAGCTGCCATTTGAACAGAAGGAGCAGCAGGTTTTCCCATCCGGGAGCTAGCATTTGGACAGAGGGAGCAGCAGGAGCAGGAGCAGCAGCAGCAGGAGGAGGGAAAAGGTAGCTAAAATCATCCTTTTCTTTGGGTTTCAGAAATTACATTGGGCACTTTTTTGGGCGCAATTTTGCTGCCTTTCCGTCCTTCACTGCCATGGTGTTTTCCCATGCGGGAGCTGCCATTTGAACAGAAGGAGCAGCAGGAGCAGAAGCAGCAGCAGCAGGAAGAGGAAAAATTGCTAAAATCATTCTTTTCGATTGGTTTCAGAAGTTACATTAAGCACTTTTTGGGCGCAATTTTGCTGCCTTTCCGTCCTTCACTGCCATGGTGTTTTCCCATCCGGGAGCTGCCATTTGAACAGAAGGCGCAGCAGGTTTTCCCATCCGGGAGCTAGCATTTGAACAGAGGGAGCAGTAGGAGCAGGAGCAGCAGCAGCGGAGGAGGGAAAAGGTAGCTAAAATCATCCTTTTCTATGGGTTTCAGAAGTTACATTAGGCACTTTTTTGGGTGCAATTTTGATGCCTTTCCGTCCTTCACTGCCATGGTGTTTTCCAGCAGCAGCAATAGCGCGGAGGAAAAAGTAGCGAAAATCATCCTTTTCTATGGGTTTCAGAAGTTACATTAAGCACTGTTTGGGCGCAATTTTGCTGCCTTTCCGTCCCTCGCTGCCATGGTGTTTTCCCAGCAGCAGCAATCGTGCGTAGGACAAAGTAGCGAAAATCATCGTTTTCTATGGGTTTCAGAAGTTACATTAGGCACTTTTTGCGCGCAATTTTGATGCCTTTCCGTCCTTCGCTGCCATGGTGTTTTCCCATCCGGGAGCTGCCATTTGAACAGAAGGAGCAGCAGGAGCAGAAGCAGCAGCAGCAGAAGGAGGGAAAAGTGGCTCAAATCATCCTTTTCGATGATCAGCCGTACGGATTTCGATTTCGCCATGACCAACCCTCATTCAAAAAAACCATGGTGGTTTCCGTAAATGAGGGTACCCCATTGAAAAACAACACTTTAGATTGGGATTCTCCATGAAAAGACCATTCAGCTATTGATGCTACTAGTATTGGGGATCCTCCATTTATGGAAACCCAAAAGGTTGGCTGCCACCTTGGCTCTGGAAAATCTCACCATTTTACATCCGTTCCATTGGTGCAAAGAAACCCAATGATGATTACACACACACCAAAAAAAAAGAAATGGGGTGCATGTGTCTCAAAATGGAAGATGATACCCCCAAAACAACAATTTGATAGATTTTGATATTGTAAGTATTGGAACCAAATTGGAATTGATGGACTGTCCAGCTATTAACTAGCTGACATTGCCGATCCTGAATATTTCAGCAGGCGTCCACTCTTTCACTTTGGGATTTAATAAAAAAGAATCCGTACCTAAGAAATATCATAAAATGAAAGAAAGCAACAAGAATTCAGTATGATATAAGATTCTTAAGATGTAATTAAGTACAGTAGGGATCCAAACCATTGCACCCTGCTGTTCAAATTTGCCGTGGGATTCCTTGCGATCCCTTGGGCCCCCCGGCAGGCTGAGAACTCTGAATATCGAGAAACCGCTTATAAATGGTCGTACCGCGGTAGCGCAGAATCAACAGAATCGGAAAACAAACTGGTTAGTTGACCATTCTTCCGGGGTCGGCGGCAGGGGCGGCAGCCCTTAATATATGGAAAAATAAAAGTCATGTTCCAAAACCACCAAGCAGTTGTTTTTTTTAATTGATCCTTTTGGGTCGTCGTGGGAACCCGGGAAACTCCAGCTGCTCGCAAGTGGCTCGCGTCGGCACACCGTCTTCTGATCCTCGATGCTTAGAAATTGCAGCCTCGTCTATGCGCGGTCTGGGTGCTGTAAACCACCTACAATGTGGTGCCCCAGTTCGTTAGCTAAGTTGGTGAACATAACTCCAATAACTATGGTTTATGGAGATATCTAGAACTACTTACTATGGTTTACAAACGAACAAACATAACTGGGGGGGCACAACCTTGTAGAAAAACCATAGGATAATGATGATTTAAGCAACAAAACCAAGGGATTTTTGATGGGATTTAGAGCTGATTTATAGCCACGTTGACGCACATAACTTGGTCAACTATGGTTTATGAACCAACAAACATAACTAGAGTGCCTCACCTTGTATGCGATGGTGCCATAAAGAATTGATTCCTTTATAATCATCATAGACTTAAGTTTTGGACTAGACTATATAGCTATATTATGCGGCGCACTCTTGGCTTTGGGCAGGCAAACGGATAAAGCAGTGACTGGAAAATGTCCGAGGAAAATGTCGAAACTCCAAATTGACCAATGGGAGTCGAAATTGTCGACGAAAGTGCTGGCGAAAGTGACGAGCCAGCTGCACCATTTGAATTATGAGTCGTAGGCGAAGAATGGCGCAAACTTGGTCAATTCTGTTTCTCAAAACGTTGAGATGAGCAGTTGCTGCAGGTAATCAACGTCTTCTGTAAAATCGGTGAGCTCGTCGATTTGGCAACAAAGCTCAATTGCTCTGGTTAACCCCCTTTGTGTGGACATCAAAGGTTGGAACAACGTTTGCAAGTCGACGTCCACTTGGACGAGAGCCATAGGGAGGGAGAGGTATAGAGACGAAAGTTCAAAGACATCTGTAAATGTCATGTACATGAATTCACTGATCAAGATGATATTAAGTTGATATGACTGATTGACGTATCAACATGTTGACAGTGATTCATGAAATGACGTGACCTTTGTCCCTTGCAGCACTTGCTGCATGTCTCACGTGAGACTAAACCAGAACAATGGTTCAATACAAGGAATCAGCAAGCACATCAACGAATGAACATGTCTGTCAAGACTCTCATGACCGCAGTCACTCCATGATATTTCGTTTTACGTAGGTATATCACATAAAAATCTATCATGATTCTCATGAGAGTATTCAAGTTGTTTTTTCGTTGTTTTCTACAATCACGTGTAGAGGTTCCCTGGTTCTTGAAACGTAAACCAAATTTCGGGAACTGATGGAATCGGTGCGTAATCCCAAAATCCATTCACACATCAAAATTCATAGCTTCCTCTTGAGAATTGCCCAAACTTTGGGAAGCAAACATGGCGATGAGAACTCACCAATTTCTATAGTTTCTAGATAATTTTCCCCTTAAAAAAACTCCATTTATTTTGTGTATTTCCTAGCTAGCCACGTTTGATTACCAGAGGATGTCTAGGTGCATGGACCTGATTTCGTTCAAATCTGCCCATTTTTTTTTTGGAAGGTTCGAACCCAGCACTCATGCATCACAGTTGGTAAGTGGTTATAAACCATATTCCGGGGCTATCCAATATCTTCGACAACAGACTGACCATGCAGACCACGCATATTTGGGCCTGTCAAAAAAATCGCACATCATCAAACAATACTTGCATCATTTTTTGCCAAAACTGCCGTAACTTTGGATATACCCGAGTGTACATCCCTCAGTTTTTACCAGTTTTCATGGGTTTCAAAACCCAAACACCATGGGGATTCGCAGAGCCCCCCGATGACACCGGCCTCTCTCGGATCTGCTCCAGGTTCCCACCTGGAATCGGCTTTACCACATGAATTCATCTGTGTAACTATTATATGAGGTCTGTACATGTACATGTCATTGTATATATATATATTATACGGATATAAATTTAAATAAATAAATATATATATATATATATATTATAATATATATGCGTTACATATTTATGAGTTGCAATACATCTCTCTATCTATATATGTTTCTATCCCAGAAATACGTAGTTGTACCCAATGTACTATGTGCAATTAAACACATATCCTAAAATGTTATAGTTCAGAAACTACGACAGTTTTTTTGAGTGTTGCAACTTCTCTGAACTTGCAAAACTAGGCAACAAACAACACAGCCAAAGATGAGGGATCTACATTCCATGGACAATCTTGGATAATTACCCTGCACACTTTTTTGTCTAATTGTTTAAGTTTTATAATCTCACCCCATCATCATCGCAAAGAAAAACACTCAAACGGCTTCATGTAATTTATCCATCATTTCTCCAAGCAAATGTCCGGGTGTGATATTTTGGATATCTAATATACGATATTTTTGGTGGGGTAAATTAAAGTATTTCAATAACCTGAAATAAGGCCATTTGAGGATGATTTCCCTATTGTTTCCCCTACTAACTTCTAACCATCATTCCAGTGAGGTCGCTATAGTTTACCCAGAAGTGCAATAAAACCATGTTTCTGGATAAACTACCCAAGTTCACCGACCTGAAATAGAATAATTCCGTGATAGTTCCGCCTAATTAATCATCATTAATCGCAGTGTGGTCGTTATAATGTACACAAAGAACTGTTTCGGGCCCCCATTAAACCCCAATGTTTGATTGTAAAATCGCCTTATTTTCCCACTTAATATAGATATTCACAATTTTCCATATCAAATTGCCATTTTGCCGTTATCATCCACCCAGATGTTTCTAACCATCCAATTTCTTTTTGAATATTTTATTCTCCCCGGATTCCTGCCTGCAGCTGCAGCGGGAAGGTTTCGGTCAAAGGCCTGATGAAATTCTCGCAGGATCAAGACCCATGAGCTGCTCCCAACAGCCCATACAAAAGCAGGGAGAACCTTTGCCAATCAGCAATCTTAGCAATCAGTTGTGTTTCTTTTGGATATCTAACCATTTAAATTGCCAATCTTCGAGATGCACTTCCACAAAATCCTTGGCAATATCAGGCCATCGGTCATCAACATATCTGCCCAAGCAATCTGTGTTGGGCGGGTTCGATCTGATTATGCATTATTTGGTCTATCATCTATCATCAATGTCGGCCAGCATCAAAGCGTTTCTGTGTGGAGGCATGATTGTTTGTTTCATGCTTTCTTCTCTGCGTAAAGGTACGCTTAAGGGCGGTGCAACAGCTAAGTGTTCCATGTTGTCTGCGCAGTTTTGTCATGGTTCTGTATATTCTGCGGGTCGGGGGTTCGCTTGGAGTGCCGGAAAGTGGATCGCTTCGAGCGCCGGAAAGTCGATCGCTTGCAACGCCGAAAAGTGACACGTAGAGAAACATAAGAGATACATAGCGCTATAGCTGCATATAGACACAGAGACATAGACACATCAATGGAAGGGGGGCAGCTTACCCCGAAATTGACACAATATAAACTTTACATTCCGTTACATCATAGACAGCATTTTCCAGTATCGGGGGGGGGCTACTACCCCTGAAAAATGCCTCGTCTTCCCCTTTATTTCTCTCTTTCATTTGTCTGCCCTTTGCCGGGGGGTCAGGTCCATTCGATCTTGGACCTGCCCCCCTCCGCCTGGACACTTGTGCCATGTCATGGACGAGGGGTTTATTATGTTTATTGACCCAGATATTTTGTGGAAGTGCATCCTTAGTTTCCCCTCCTTGTGGCGATCCTAGGTCCCTAGAATGGTTTGAAAATTCAGCCAGCCCCAAAGGTCAAAAACTGGTCACCGGAAAATCCATGGTGGTAGAGTTCACCCACACAAATGCTGGAGTTAGTTGGATTTCGAATCAAACCATACTGATGATGTTGGATTTCACATCTCACCATCCAAAATCAAGTGTTATACGGTAACTATACATCTAAATATACCGATTTGTAAATATACAAACTGGTATTATCTGGACTACTTCCAGGAAGGTTTCCCTTGGCCCGCCCGGCCATTTAAACATATGGAACTGGTGTTTCATCCTACCTCGGCCTGGCCATGTCTGGCCCTCATATTTAAATGATTTCTGTCATCAAACATCAAACATAGCAAACCATCAGGATTCCACCTAAAAATGATGGGATTTGATTTCACCCTTGAAAATGCCCTTCGGTTTTTCCGTGGATTTCCCTCGATGCCAAAGGAGCTGCACCAGTTTTGATGGCACACATTGTTTGTCACTGTTTGCTCAAATCGGTTGATTTTCACCAGTTGCAAAACTGCTACAATACCCACCACTGAGTCACCACCAATCACAGACCACTTTCTGTCAGCCCACCAAAATCTTGATCGTTACTGTTTGGGGGACCATTTTTTGTGAAATTTAAGCGTTGGTGGAATCAGTCCAAGAAGTTGTTGCATAAATCATCTACTCTCTGGTTATGGCTGACATAGCCATGGGAAATGGCCCATTTATAGATGGTTTACCTATTAAAAAAGGTGATTTTCCATGGCTATGTTAAATAACCAGATGGTAACTCCGTTTCTTGATGGTTTCACTCGTGAAATCAAATCCCAATGATATCCCAATTTTTGAGGCTCAAGTCTCCATCGTTAGATGCATCGAAAAAAATGCTGATTCAATCCCAGCGAAATCCCCTGTGGATAGCAGTTGGAGGTTTCCAAGCCGAATAGGCTTTGCTGCGACCTGAGAGAATTCCTTCCCACCGAAGAGTGGGTCAGAACGAGAGCCGACATGGCTCCTGTCCTGCGAGGCAATGGCCGAGCGCGTGGCTTCTGTGTTCTCCTCTCGGCCTCTCAGGGCCAATGACCCTATCTGTTGGTTGAATTTTGATCTTGCGCTTTCCTTGATGCCAGGCACCAGGTCAAGCTGCAAGATCGCCGGAGATGGCCGGGTCGCATCGGCGATCAACAAGATCAGCGCGAATTCTGGCATGGCCGACCCGATGGCCGCCATGCTGGCATTGGGCGCTGCATAGCCGCTGGCATTGGGCGCTGCATAGCCGCTGGCATAGCCGACCGCGCTCCAGATCCGAATTTCGCTGCTTTCGCAGCCAATCCTTGGGCTGCACG